GCATGCAGAAATAGCTCTGCTCTTGACCAGGGATGTCATCTTGGGCATTGCCCTGAGTTGGCAGTGCTGCCTGAAGGACAGTGGCTCCTGAAAGGCACAGGGACACGGTCCCAGGCAGATCCCTGTGGATCACCCATCATGTCCATTGTCAATGAACACCCACACAAGAAGGATCCACACAGGCACATCGCCCCGTGCCCTACGGCCATGAACCCATGGAGAAGCAAAGTGCAGCAGCGTGCTCGTAGGGGCAATTACTTCAGCCTGTTCCTGACCTCAGCTTTGGAAGAAAAGCCCCACAGCCAGACACTGGTAGTGAGAAAATCCTCTTTCATTACAGGGATGCAATACATGAGGCCAGCTGTATCATCCTGCCAGAGCAATGTACAAAGTCCTCTATGTCAGACAATGTGGTTTGGGCCTCTGGGGAAGTTGAGTGGATGCAGACATTCCTGGACTAACAGTATTGTCACTGACAAAATGATCTATGCATAGGATGTGTCAGAGATGAATTAGAAAATATCTTCTGAAGAGACAAAGGCAGGTTATTTCTGCAGAGGGATAATGGACTGAATCAGCTTCTTCAGTGAGTCCTTGACTTCCTGGTTCCTCATGCTGTAGATGAGGGGGTTCACTGCTGGAGGCAAAACTGAATACAGAAATGACACCACCAGATCCAGGGATGGGGAGGAAGTGGAGGGGGGCTTCAGGTAGGCAAACATGGCAGTGCTGATAAACAGGACAACCACGGCCAGGTGAGGGAGGCACGTGGAAAAGGCTTTGTGCCGTCCCTGCTCAGAGGGGATCCTCAGCACAGACCTGAAGATCTGCACATAGGAAAGCACAATGAAGAAAAAACAGACAAATGTTAAACAGGCGCTAACTACAATAAGTCCAGCTTCCCTGAGGTAGGAGTTTAAGCAGGAGAGCTTGAGAATGTGAGGTATTTCACAGAAGAACTGGTCCAGAGCATTGCCATGGCAAAGGGGTAGTGAAAATGTATTAACAGAATGCAGAAGAGAATTGAGGAACCCACTGCCCCAGGCAGCTGCTGCCATGTGGACACAAGCTCTGCTGCCCAGGAGGGTCCCGTAGTGCAGGGGTTTGCAGATGGCAATGTAGTGGTCATAGGCCATGACAGTGAGGAGACAATACTCTGCTGTGAACAAGAAGAAATAAACAAAGACCTGTGAGGCACACCCCGTGTAGGAGATGGCCCTGGTGTCCCAGAGGGAATTGGCCATGGCTTTGAGAAGAATGGTGGAGATGCAGCCTAGGTCAAGGAGGGAGAGGTTGAGCAGGAAAAAGTACATGGGGGTGTGGAGGAGATGGTCACAGGCTATGGCAGTGATGGTGAGGCCGTTGCCCAGCAGGGCAGCCAGGTCAGCTCCCGTGTGTCTGCAAATGCCAGGAGGAGGAACTGGGTGATGGAGCTGCTGTTGGACATTTGCTTCCACTCAGCATGAAGCACTGTCCAGAAAGAAAGAGACACTGACAAGTTAGGGTACAATTCTCTGAGAAAAGTCAAAGCCCTTTCTCCTAGACCCACCCCCAGAGCTACAGATCATACTCTTTTCCTTTTCTAGCAGACCTGCCTTCAGCTGCATGGCTGGAGCTCTGGTCTGTGGTGGCTGAGTGTGCCGTGATGAGCAGGGGTGCTGCCTGCTGGGTGCTGAGCAGTCAGCCCCGCTTTGCCGCACTGGGTTCATTGGAACGCTGGGGTCAGGGAACAGTCCTGGTGTTTGACTTTGTCAGACAGATCTGTTCCTAATGCAGAAGGGCTTGTCAGTGTCTGATCTCCCAGTGCTAAGGAACGGGGATGGCAAAAGGGAATTGGAGAGGGTTTTCTGCTGCACTCAGGGAAAACAGAGTGAGTCCTACCAGCATAAGCATTGCCTGTGGCTTAGTGCAGAATAACAGCCGCTGGTCGGTCCCTCTGTCTTGGGCATGAGCTGACTCTGTGAGCAGCCCTGACCCATGCAGCACCCTCTCCACAGCTGAAGGACCCTGCCATGACAGGGGTCAATTCTTCCACCCACAGCTTCTCCTCACAGCACCACAGTGAGCTCCCTGGGCAGGCTGAGTGCTGACCCTGGCAGGCAGCAGAGTTCCTGCCCCAACAAACAGCCCCTGGGGTGCAGAGACCCTCTCTGAAGGACAACCCTGGGCACCCCTGGCTGAACACCCACCTTCACAGCCCTACAGCCATCCCTGGGAGAAGGCAGCAGTCATGCCCTGTCCCTCTGATGGTGCAACATGGAAGCCCTGCTCAGAAGCACATTCTCCTCCTCTACACTGGAGTCACTGCAAGAGTCCTGACAGATCTCACAGGCTGTAGGGTGTGCTGGCTTTTGGAGATGCCTTCAGGAACATGAGCTGCATTACTCTTTATCCAGTGACTTACCGCGTGGAGGGCTGTGAAGAGGTCTCCCCCAGTGAGGTCTCAGCTCAAGGTCTTCCCACTTCCGACTGCCTATAACCTGCCTCTGTCTCATTGCTCTCAGTGCCTGCAGGCAGTACCCTCAGCCCTGCTGGGCTTTGCAGAGGAGCTGCTCCTGGGTAGAGCTCTCTCTCTGCAGCGCTGCCCACTTGCCATAAGCTCCCTCCATCCCAGAAGCCCAGCCTAGCTCAGCAGCAGAGGACCAGCCCAAGGCATCTCTCTTTCTGCTCCCTTTGGACTCCCTCACGGTGTCTTTTGGTCTCCAGGGGAATCTGCTGTGAAACAGGCTGAAGAAATCACTGATGTTCCCTCTCTCTGCTGGGGAGAGAGGCTTACAAACAGCAGTGTCATTACTCCTATTTGAAAAGGAGCTGGGCATGAGAATAATTTTTTTTGGTCTCCTTTTTAGGCAGGACAACAGAATGTTGGCAGGGAAAGATCTCTTCTTCCAAGCTGAGGGGGGGAATACTTTAATTGTGTTAACTTAGGCATTTCATTTTGGGTTTGTGTTCCTGGGGCTAGAATCACATTCAGCTCTCCTTTGTCCACGCCATGACTCTGCTCTGAAACAAAACCTTTGCACACACGGGGTCTTGGACCCTTGATACCAGGTTTCCTCATGCTAAATATGAGCTTGCCTGGTTGAACAGCATCTGTGTTTCAGCCCAAATGTGCAGCAATGCCCTCAGCCAGGGGCACAGACGGGATGAGCTGGAGCTATTCATGTCAGAGACTGAGCTATGGCACTGATGGAATCAGTTGCCGAGGTGTGGTGGCAGAGGTTGGTACAGCTGGCCTTCAAAGACAGCACCTGTAAGCACAGCGGCAGTCCAAATGACAAACCAGTCTAAACCTGTAAGGCAATTCTAGGGAACCACAATGAGTGTTGAGTACTTCAGCAGTGGTTAAAAGAGAAACAGAATCACAGAATGAATCACAGAATCACAGAATATTCGCAGTTGGAAGGGACCTCTAAGGGTCATCTAGTCCAACCCCCCTGCCAAAAGAGGGTCACCTACAGTAGGCTTCAGAGGACCTTGTTCAGGTGGGTTTTGAATATCTCCAGAGAAGGAGACTCCTCAGCCTCCCTGGGCAGCCTGTTCCAGTGCTCCATCACCCTCAGAGGGAAGAAGTTCTTCCTCATGTTCAGACGGAACTTCGTGTGCTTCAATTTGTGTCCATTGCCCCTTGGTCCTGTCTCCGGGCGCCACTGAGTGGCTCCATCCTCCTAACACACATCCTTGAGATATTTATAAGCATTTATTACGTTCCCTTTCAACCTTCTCTTCTTGAGACTGAACAAGCCCAGATCCCTCAGCCTCTTCTCATAGGAGAGATGCTCCGGTCCCCTCATTATCCTCGTAGCCCTCCGCTGGTCTCTCTCCAGTAGCTCCTCATGTAACAAATTGCTTGTGTGCATGGATCACATACCCGCC